TGCCATACGCACAAACCTTTTGGGTGATGAGCCAATTTTTCTTTTTTTCTTCCTTTCATTTTGTTTTTCTGCACTTATGTGGAGACAACACACAGATAGATAGAAGAGGTTAGGATAGATATAATAAGCCCTTACAATATGTAAAGGTCTCCAGTGAATGGGATCTCCCCCACAGAGGACTGTGGGAAAGTGGGGTTGAGGATGAAGGAGAAGGGAGGAAAAGGGAAAGGTGTGAGGCTTTTGCCCCCTGATGCCGATAGAGCGGAGTGCCGTCTATGCGCTGGGGTTGGGGTTGTTGTGTGTGTTGGTGGAGCCGTTGCTTCCCTGGATGGTGAGGCTAATCTCATCCTTCCTCTCCTTCTCCTTTCCCTCCTCCTTCTCCTTCTCCTTTTGTTCTTCCTTCAGCTCATCCCTCTCCTTTAAGGGACGGGCCTCCACAGTGTCTTCGGAGGCCATAGGGGCGTAGCGGCCTGTCCGGTGCTCCTGGAGGGCAGGACCCCACTTTGGATGCGCTCGGCACGCTGCCTTCAACCTCTGAGAGAGAAAGACAGACGCGCCTTTTAGAGCAGAAACATCAAGACTTATGAAGTCAAATTAGGTTTTCATTAAGTGACGCTTTCCTTTCTTCAGCTGCTCCCACACATAACCACTGTGACTAAACTCCACTTAACTTTCATTTTCCCTCCATGCTTTTTAGTTCATCTGATAATTTAGCAGCTGCCATTGCACATTCACATCTCTTAAACAAGATTTATGGCCTGTCTAATTGTCAGAAATTGCAGCATTCCAACAGCAGGGCAGCTTTGTGCTGACACACATTATACTTTCTATACTTTCTCCCATTTGTTATTAACAGTTCTGCAGCACTTGTGGTCTTTATAAAACCAAACATGTGGCATCAGTGTGGTTACAATGTCCTCCAAAGATTGTATAAAAAAGTGAACTGTTATGGCCTGCTCATTTTCATGTGTGTGGGTTTTTTGTTATTCTTGTTCCTTTTTAAAAAAAAAAGTTTAAAAAAAGTTCACAATAATAATAATTTCCAGGCATTTTATATTGTAAGGTAAGGGTGGTGCAGTATTAGAGAGAGAACATCAGTAGACCAAAAATTCCCCTGTGAGAAAATGCTTGACGATAGTGGGGAGGAAGAACTTCCCTTTAACAGGAAGTGAGCCAGACTCAGACATGCAGAGAGAGAAGGAGAAAGAACGAGAAGGAAGCTAGCCATGTATTCACTGTGAGGTCATATTTTTCTGTTTATATCTCGTCATATCTTCTTGCTTTTTCAGTTTTGTTCATTGTTACCTGCCTGTTTGCTGCAATGTTTGCATTTAGGCTCTCTACCCCAAACGAAGACTTAACACATGTGGTCCTTCCTCTGTTTTCCCAGTCTCTATGACAACCAGCTTTTCCCTCCTAGTGTAGCTATCGGCAATAAGGATCATAAAATTTCAACCGGCAGTTCAAGTGACCTCATCACTATCTGACACCAGCAACAAATTCTTTCCTCCTCAAACTAATTTGCCAAAAGCAGAGATGCTTGGATTGATATTTAAACGTCGTTTATGGTGTAAACTAATAGTTCGTCTGCTTTTAGAGCTTACGTAATGCAAACGGGCAATTGAATTATGGAAAGAGCTCTTTCCATTATTCGGCAAACATACTTCAGCTGATATGCAGTTGAGAGCTTTTCAGTTGCTCAGACGATGTTAAAACTTTAAGTGCTTTAATTTGTAGTGCAGCTCTTGCATGCAAAAATGTTTTAACACGTTGACTTTTTTGAAAATTTGTTTAAATGCTTCAGAGGGAAATTTAGCCTTTTGTATTGAACTATAGAGCTGTTTATGTCAGCTGAATGGAGAGGAGACTTTCGGGGGAAGCTGTACCTCTCTAAAGGTAGCTCCTGGTGACTTTGAGATCTTGTAGAGGGCGTAGATGGGTATGCAGACCACCGAGGACAGAGCCATGGCAAAGCCAATAGCCAAGGACCAGCCGGGATACACGTAGTCATTGTAAGTAATGGGTTTGTACTGGATCACTGTGAAGATCAGGATGAACTGCAGGGACAAAGAGAGAATAGAAAGAGCCTGAATGTGTGCAAAATGCATGTATAACACAGTAATAAAGACATATGTCACATGGGTGGGTAAAAGCATGAAAATTAAGCCAGTGCAGGTGAAACCACCGTTGACAGCTTTATTTAAAAGTTGCAGATGATTGGGGCAGCACTCTGTGCAAAAGAAATGAAAGAGAGAGGAAAATGACCAGTAAGCCACAACAATGAATTTCTTGGTTAGTCCAGCAGCTTAGTGGACTAATACGCCTGCTTGGGAAATACCATTGATATCAGCTGCATGTGTCCATTTCCCAGTCAGAAAGCTTTGCTTTTGGAGGTTTTAACTGGAAACAAAGCCAAAAAGATTAGCACTGATGGCAGCTCAAATGTAGGTCGGGTCCATAACAATGCGTCAGGGAAGTTGAGAACCTTCCACTCAACATCCTGCAGACTATGCAAAATACTGACAAGCTATTTCGTCACTATGTCTGGTCTTAGATCAGTGTGCTTGTGTGTGTTCACTTACAGAGATAATCACAGGCGAGATGAATCTCCAGCAGACTTTGAAGAAGAGAGGAGGAGGGAAGCCCAGCATCATCTCTACATCTTTGAAGTAGTTCCTGTGGCCTGCAAAGGAACAAAAACCCAGCATTCGTCGTCATCATCAGCTTTGATTACTTGTACTGGATTATGTGACTAATATTATGACTCGCTGTGGTAAGTGGTATTCTAGTTTTTATTAGGTCTGTTAACTTAGCACTTCAAACTATGGAGTCCAAAACCACTGGGTGACATCACAGTGACCACGTCCGTCTTTGATACTGTCTATAAATGGTGAGTCATAGGGATAAAGGTCAGGTAACTGTTGAATTAGTTGTTTAAGGAGTTCTTTCAAAGCCCTTTGGTGTATTTGGGCTCATACTGAACCATGACCCCTTCTACACACAGATGGAGAACAAAGCCATCTATAAAGGATGGAGTGATACTTGGATGGAGTGACCCGTGGCCAGTGTGGAGTTGAATCAGGGGGTTCAGGGGGTTGGGAAGCTCATCTTGTAACCAGAAGGTTGCCAGTTTGATCCCCTGCTCTGTCTGTCTTGGTCGTTGGCCTACTAGTGTTGGCCAGAGGGGCCGATGGCACGATATGGCAGCCTCGCTTCTGTCAGTCTGCCCCAGGGCAGCTGCGGCTACAACTGTAGCTTGCCTCCACCAGTGTGTGAATGTGAGAGTGAATGAATAGTGGAATTGTAAAGCGCTTTGAGGGCCTCCAAAAGCACTATATAAATACAATCCATTATTATTATTATTAATCAGCGCAGGTGTCCTATTCCTGAGTAGGCAAAATGCACAACACCTACTACCAGGTTTCACTGTGGGTATGGTCCACTGTGGTATCACTATCTCTCCTGTTCATATTCTGAATGACACCCCACTGTTCCTGCTACTCATCTATAACTTGGATCCATAAGTAAATTAGACCTTTTTCCATCATCCACTGAGTGTTGGTCATATATCTGAGATCAGCTTGAACACTTATTTAGGTGTGTTTCAGTTTGTGCCTGTGTGATTACATATTTGTAAAATTGAACTACCACACTTAGAAAGTGCACCATGTTCACTCTTTTTCCCTCCTTACCGTAAATATACATGATGCAGATGCACATGATGCATGAGATGATGACCAAAGAGAAACTGGCAGCATAGTTGTCCATCAGTAAAAGCCAATAGATTCCTGCCTGCAC